TGGAGATCGTTCCTAATCATTATTCCATAGAAAAAAAGAAGCAGAAGTCAAATGAAAGTTACAGAGAATTTTCATACAGATGGAGAAAGGAGGCAACTAGAGTGCGGCATCCTATGTCTGAGAAGGAAATTGTTAAAGTATTTGTGCGGGTTCAAGAGCCCGAATATTATAATATAATCATGTTGCTCGTTGGAGCAAATTTTGTTGAGATAGTCAAATTAGGTGAGACTATCGAAGATGGATTAAGAACCGGGAAGATTGCCCGTGTTGCTGCTTCGCCCGGATCATCGGGTTTGTTGAAGAAGAAAAGAGAAGATGTGTCTTCTATCTCTTATGAGGGGAAGAAGACCCCAAGGAAATCCTCATCATACCAAGGCCGTTCTCGACCTTCAAAGAGTTCTTACCTAGCTTGTTATGCACAGTCTGATTACCAAAATACCCCTCCCGCCATAATACCCCTCCCCCGAGTTATTAAAATACTCCCCCTCCTATCTACCAAATTCCCTCTCTAGTTTACTAGATTCCATCTCATCACTAACGAAACGCCGCCCCCAATTGTGCCAACGTTCAGGAAAATTACCAAACGCCTCCCCCAAAGTACCAAACCCTAGCTCAACTTTACCAAAATACCCCCCCCCCAAACTACCAAGCTCCACCACTAAATTACTAGACCAATTCATACCCAAGATATCAAGCCCCCCCTCCAAATGCTCTAAATTATCGTCCGATGCCTCCTCCTCAACAAGGCAACTACGATTTTTGTCTTAGATTTGAGAAAAAACCATCCTGAAACTTCACTCCTATCATTGCGAGTCGAACCCAGCTTTTTAAGCGATTGACTGCAGCAAGATTTATTCATCTAGTAGGGCACAAACCTATCGAGACCAGCTCAAGGTTTTACAGACCTGATCAGAGGTGCACATATAACTCTAACGGTGTTGGACATGATACTGAGGACTGTATCAACCTTAATCACAAGATCCAAGACCTGATTGACCAGAATGTGGTCTCTCTCTAGACAGTCACGCCCAATGTCAATAGTAATCCTTTGCCAAATCATGGAGGCGTCACTATCAATATGATAGAGACAGATGATGATTGGTGCATAAATAAGGCGATAGTTCTGATTGATACTGATGAACTGGAAAGGGTTGTAGCTTCGTTGAGCATTACAGAAAAGAAGGAGTTTGTGATTCTGACACTCGAAAAGGTTGTTGAGTTGGTGCCAAGAGAAACTCTTGCCAGATTCGGTAGATGTTACACACCGGAAGAGTTGGCTCAAGGAGGGCAGAAGAAGGACCAAACAAAAAGGTCGATCAGTGAAGCTGAGGCCGAGGAGTTCTGGGGAAAAATGCAGCCAAAAGATTATTCGATTATGAAACACCTGGAAAAGACGCCGGCTCAGATTTCTGTATGGGCTTTATAGATGAGTTCGCAGTTGCATAACCAGGCTCTATTAAAGGCTCTAGATGACACTTATGTGGTCGTGGGCAGCAACAGTGACAATCTAGCAGCCATGATAACCCAGGTCATTCGAGGACACCGAATCAGTTTTTGTGACGAAAAGCTGCCCTTTGAAGGTAGGATGCACAACAAAGCTCTGCACGTCACCATCAAATGCCAGGACAAAATTATAAATTATGTTTTGGTCGACCATGGGTCCGGTCTCAACATCTGCCCACTTTCAACTCTCAAGCAACTAAAATTCGTCTTGGGAAAGGTTCAACAAAACCGGTCAATGTGAAAGCTTTCGATGAAGTGCAGAAAGACACGATAGGGGTAGTAAACTTGGGAATTCAGATAGGTCCTGTAGAGTTTGACGTGGAGTTCCACGTGTTGGATATCAACACCAGTTACAACCTACTTCTTGGAAAACCGTTTATCCATATGGCTGAAGATGTGTTGTCTTCACTTCACCAACTGATAAAATTAGTTTGGAAGGACCAGGAATTGGTCATTCATGGTGAGGGAAGTCATTCTGATGGGTATGCGCCGATCATTGATGAGGTCTCCGTTGCGATTTCTATACGGTGGAGCTGGTGAATGCCACCGGTGATGACTTGGCTCCACAGCCTCCTATGCTTTCTGTGTACAAGACGATTGCTACTGTCATTCTCCAGATTGTTTTCGAACTAGGTTTCGGATTGGGGAAGTGTGGTCAATGAATTACCAAGCCCATTCAAGTTCCTGCCAAAGGGGCAAAGTTTGGTTTGGGGTATGTCCCCACAGATATTGATGAAGCAGAGATGAAGAACAAGAATGTTGATCAAGCATTGGCCAAGCTAATTCCTCACTTGTACCATTCATTCCCGGTATGAGAATATGTCAATGATGGTGGTCTCACGGAAGGAATCTGGGGCCTTTTTGAGGAGATTGATGCAGTCATCGAGGAAGAGGCTGGGACATCGGGCATTCGTGATGCAGAACCAGAGGAGCAACTGCAAAATTGGACCTCCACACCGCTCTTGTTTCCCGTGCAACTTGGTAGAAAAACATGTGTTTATGTTTGTCTTTAAAATTTGTGGTAGTCTGGAAGAGGCCCGAGACCTACCATTTATGCATTTTACTTGTTTTAGTTTTTTCATCTCCCCGTGATATTTGAAAAGGTGAAATGGCCCTTAGCCATGGCCAAAGTTTATGCTTGTTTTTCAATTAAAATGAAAGCCTCTTTTACTGAAAATTTATTTACTTATTTGTTTATATTTTACTTTCCTAACTTTGTTTGTTTATGATTTCAGTAATATTAATTTAAAACCTATCAATATCATGTCATGTCATGAACCGAGTGAACTAAATGAGGCAGGTGATACCTAACGCGAGAAATAAGAAAAAGAAAATGAGGTACCTGAACATGTTGCTGAAGAATTTTGACAATTCGACAATCAACACAAGCCGAATTTAGAAGAAACCGAAACTGTGAATCTCAGAGATGAGGAATGTGTTAAAGAAGTAAGAATCATTGTCCATCTAACTGAAACTCAAAGAAGGGACTTAGTTCATTTTCTTAGAGAATACATTGATGTATTTTCCTGGTCTTACAGAGATATGCCAGGGCTGAGTACGAATATGGTGTCCCACAAGTTGTCGATTAATCTAGAATTAAGTCCAGTAAAACAAAAGACTTAGAAGTTCAAGCCAGAGCTGAGTTTGAAGATCAAAGAGGATATTACAAAGCAGATCGAGTCCCAAGTGGTGGAAGTGAAGCAGTATCTGACTAAGTTGGTCAACATTGTTCCAGTGGTCAAGAAAGACGGGAAGATTAGAATTTGTGTCGATTACAGAGATCTCAATAAAGCTAGCCCGAAAGACAACTTTCCATTGCCAAACATTCACATTCTCATTGATAATTGTGCCAAGCATGAGATGCAGTCGTTTGTAGATTGTTATGCGGACTATCATCAGATCATATGGATGAAGAAGATATAAAAAAAACAATCTTCATTGCACCTTAGGGTGTATATCATTACAGAGTGATGCCTTTTGGTCTGACGATTGTCGGTGCTACTTATATGAGGGCTATGACAACCATTTTCATGATATGATTCATAAGGAGATTGAGATGTATGTAGATAATGTTATAATCAAACCCCGCGAGAGGTCGGATCGATTGACACACTTAAGGAAATTCTTTGATAGCCTACGTCGATACAATTTGAAGTTAAATCCCACCAAATATGCTTTTGGAATGCCAACTGGCAAGCTGTTGGGATTTATAGTCAGCAGGAGGGGCATTGAGCTTGACCCTTCCAAGATCAAGGATCCAAGAATTACCTCCTACGAAGACCAATATGGAGGTGATGAGTTTTCTAGGACGGTTGAACTACATCAGTCGGTTCATAGCCCAATCCACTGTGGTGTGTAAGTCTATCTTCAAGTTGTTGAAAAAAGATGCCTTAACTAAGTAGACCAGAGAATGTCAAACTGCCTTTGATGCCATCAAGAATTATTAATCCAATCTCTCGGTGTTGGTTCCTCCGCGAGAAGGAAGTCTGTTGTTGCTATATTTATTGGTATCAGATAATGCATTTGGATGTGTGCTTGGTCAACATGATGAGACTGGGAAGAAGGAGCGAGCCATTTATTACTTGAGCTAAAAATTCACTCCATATGAGGCTCGTTACACTCTTTTGTAGAGGACATGTTGTGCTTTGACTTGGATTGCTCAGAAGTTAAGACATTAATTGTCTTCTTATACCACATACCTTATTTCTAGGATGGACCCGTTGAAGTATATTTTCCAGAAAGCAATGTCGATCGGGAAGTTAGCTAAATGGCAAATGCTTTTGAGTGAGTTTGATATTGTGTATGTGACCCAGAAGGCGGTACACGCACAAGACTTAGTCGATCATCTTGCGGAAAATCCTGTTGATGAATAGTATGAACCACTCAAGACTTATTTTCCCGATGAGAAAGTTTCATTTGTGGGTGAAGATATTTTCGAGAGTATTCTTTGATGGAGTGGAAAACCACCAAGGGAAAGGTATCGGGGCGTCCTAGTGTCAGAATCGGGTCAGCACTGTCCCATGGCAGCTAAACTCTGGTTTGATTGCATAAACATAATGGCTGGGTATGAAGCTTGCATCATCGGTCTGAAGATGGCAATTGATATGAACGTTCATGAGCTTCTGGTTATTGGAGACTCAGACTTGTTGATTCATCAAGTTCAAGGAGAATGGGAGCTGAAGAACCCAAAGATCACACCGTATGTGCGGTATATACAGATGTTGTGCAAGAGATATCGCAAGATTGAATTCAGGCACACTCCCAGGACAAAATATGAGTTGGCCGATGCTCTGGCCACCATTAATTTAATGATTAAACATCCGGATACAAGTTATATTGATCCAGTGGATATAGAGGTAAGAGAGAAGCCTATCCATTGTTCACATGTTGAAGCAGAACCAGACGGTTTGCCTTGGTATTTTGACATAAAGAAGTAGTTGGAGACCGGGGCTTATCCTGGGAATGTAACCATCAACCAGAAGAAATCAATACGTGGTATGGCTAACAATTTCTTTCCGAGTGGGGAAATCCTTTATATGAGGACTCCAGATTTAGGTCTTCTCAGATGGGTTGATGCCAGTGAAGCTGCAAACCTTCTTGAACAGATACATGCTGGAGTTTGTGGTACTCATATGAATGAACTCACTTTGGCGAGGAAGATCTTCCGCGCTGGTTATTTTTGGATGACTATGGAGCATGATTGTTGCAAGTTCGTGCAGAAATGTCACAAGTATCAAATGCATGGTGATTTGATTCGAGTGTTGCCTCATGAACTCAATCCCATGAGTTCACCTTGGCCATTCGTAGCTTGGGCATGGATCTCATTGGTCTGATAGAGCCAGTCGCCTCTAACGGACACAGATTCATTTTGGTTGCCATTGACTATTTTACCTAGTGGGTGGAAGCAGTTTCGTATAAGTCGGTGACAAAGAAAGTTGTAGCCGATTTTGTTCGCAACAATTTGATATGTAGGTTTGGAGTGCCAGAATCCATCATCACTGATAATGGAGCGAATCTCCACAGTCACTTGATGAGAGAAATATGCGAACAATTCAAGATTACTCACCGGAACTCAACCGCCTACCGTTCCCAAATGAATGGAGCTGTAAAGGCCACTAAAAAGAACATTAAGAAGATTCTGAGGAAAATGATTGACAATCACAGAAGTTGGCATGGGATGTTGTCATATGCTTTATTGGGTTACAGAACGACCATCAGAACGTCAATCAGAGCTACTTCATACTTGTTAGTATATGGAACAGAAGAAGTTATACCTGCCGAAGTTCAAATACCTTCATTGAGAATCATCCAAGAAGCTAAATTGAGCAATGTTGATTGGGTTCGCAATCGAATTGACCAGTTAACATTGATTGATGATAAGAGAATGGTTGTTGTTTGTCATGGTCAACTGTATCGATAGAGAATGATTCGTGTTTTTCACAAGAAAGTAAGAGCCGGGATTTTTTAAATTGGTCAGTTGGTTCTCAAAACTCATTTTCCCTCATCAGGATGAGTACAAAGGGAAATTCGCACCAAATTGGCAAGGACCCTACATGGTCCGCAAAGTGCTATCTGGAGGTGCCTTAGTCCTGTCAGAGATAGATGGCACCGAATGGCCAAAAATGATCAATTCAGATGTTGTCAAGAGATATTATGTGTGATGTTTCAGTCTGTATTTTTGTCATTTCCTTGTAATAGTTCTATTTGCTTGTAATCGCTTTGTTTAGAATTTTATCCCTCTGTTTGAACTACGTTCGACCTGAATTCTCAAGAATGAGATACAAAGGCGGCCTATGTCGGCCTCGGTCGGTTCCTTATTTAAATTTCTTATTTTTGTTAATCTTTGAGGGGAAACTACGTTTGACCTGATTCCTGCCTCAATGGGATACGTAGGCGCCACAACGGTTCGGTCATATCTCTCGTAAGATTTCTATTCTTCTTTACAATTGAAACTGGGATAGAATATTTTCAGGGGACTCAAAAATTCTCAAGAAGAAGATCTCTCCAACAAGTCAAAACTGAGGTTACGTTGAGAATTACGACTGGGACAGAATTTTTGAGAGGATCTAAAAAATTCCATGGTTTGTTCACCAACAGTTAAATATAGGCCAAGACAATTAATTGGGACAGAAATTTTTTAAGATGACCTCAAAAATTTCAATAGGGTTCATTGACAGTTTAGAGTAACTTTGAATACTGACCAGCAAGTAATCAGATAGACACATCAACTTCAAAGACGTTCACTAAGCTTGACGTAACATGACACTTGGCAGTGACCTTTTCCAAATATTACATTTTGAAAACCTATTTTCCTTAAAAAAATTCTTTCATGTTTCAATTATTTGCATAAAAATGTTGTCTTATCTATCAAGAGGCGGGAGATCGGAGAAATCAATCGGAGATAGCCAGACAAAGAGCAGACAGCCGTAGGGACCGGCACATATCAATTCACTATAAACTAACAATTTTTTTTGTGGATGCAGGTCTACAAGTTTGCCTCAAGATCATCATCTTCCTCCATTCAACGAACATGGAGAAGTCAAAAAGGCGAGGAGCTCCCCGAAATTGACAATTTTTCTGTGGATGGAGTAACAGTTTTATGCTTCTAATACTAAAGAATCGGGTATATGAGTAACATTATTTCATTCAAATTCTCAGCAAGGCAAAGTCCATAATGAACACACGATTATGTTCGGAGATGGAGCAAATGGAATCCCCGAAGAGAGAAATTATATTGTTTTCCAACAACTAAAATATTCGGATGAAGTAATCTGCATCATATTTTTCAGATATGATAATATTCCTACCCAGATAGTCATCTATATCGTATTGTCAAATGAGATAACACCACTACTCCGAGGGTCATTTTTATTATTGTCAAAAAGATAATGCTGCCACCATAAGATACCTACAAGATCACCTACATTGTTCGATGAAGCATTATCTTTGTTCGGTACCAGGAGGCATCATCACTATCTTTATGCATATCAAGAGGAAGAACTCATGCATAGCAAAAGAAAGAGGCATGCATCGCAAGAGGAAGATTCATGCATAGCAAGAGGAAAATTCATGCATTGCGAGAGGAAGAAGTCATGCATAGCAAGAGAAACATTCATGCATCACGGGAAAACCATACATCACTGGAAAAGATTCATGCATCACGGGAGAAGTTATGCATCACGAAAAAAGTCATGCATAGCAAAAAGAAATAAAGAAAAAATCATGCATCACGGGAAAGAAGTAATCAATCGCGGAAAAAGTCACCATCAGCTACAATTTTCGAGGAAACATCACCTGTATTTCTCAAAGAAGCATTATCTTCATGCATCACAGGAGAAGTCATGCATCTAGGGGTGTGCATTCGGTTTTTTGGTTTGGTTTTACACTATTTGGTTTGGATTTTCGATTTTTGATTTTGTAAAAGTGTAACCCAATCCGATCCAAAATAAATTTGGTTTGGTTTGGTTTTTCTCTATTCGGTTTGGTTATTCGGTTATGTCAATAATTAATAACATATATAACCAAAGTAATAATATTTAATCCCTTAAATATACTTTCTAATATAAATCATAAGTAAAACTTAAAACACAATACTTATAAGTATACCTATTGTAGATGTAATTCAAACATAAAAGGGAGAAGACATAAGTACCCCCTAGACTATGACCGAAATCTCAGAGACACACCTTAGCTAAATTAAGGTCCTATTACCCCCTTGAACTCATTTTTTTTGTAATTTTGTACACCTTTTGACTTATGTGGCACACCACGCAACTCCACGCAGTATATATATATATATATATATATATATATAAAAATTCAATTTTTTTTGGTTTTTCGGTTTTTATCTTTTAAAATCCAAAACCAAACCAAAAAACCAAACAAAGTAATTTATTAATCCAAAACCAATCCAAAAAACCAAAAAACCAATCCAAATAAAATTTTGGTTTGGTTTGGTTTGGTTATTCGGTTTTATCCGAATATTGCACACCCCTACATGCATCACAAGAAAATCAACATCAGTTGCATCATTTTTAATTTGCAAGAACAACATTAAGAGAACCATCAACAACATCAAGAGAACTATCAACATATTACATACCCCTATTTTATTACTTCAACATCAAAGGAAGAATACATTGAAGATTATATTGCAAACATGAAATACAAGCTTATTTGCTCTACGTCAAATTAGGGGAAGCTAATGTCAAATGTTCAAGGAGAGTAATTAAGTGTCAACATGATAAAAGACACTATCTCCCCATTTGAATTGCATTTTTTATGCTAATGAATTTTATCTCAGTCTTTGTCGAGAGCATCCGAGAGGATGAGTTCTCAAAAAACAAACCACATGTGCAGAGACATCAAAAAGGATGAAGCACAACGTGGAACTTTTTCTTAGCAACGAACTAGGACATAGTCCAAAGAGGAATGCCAAACTCTTAGGACGCAAGAAGAGGAACGACTTTCACCACAATCAAACCACACCCCTATCGGAAGGCATGTGGGTTTTCTTTAACTTTATCGGTTTTGGTTTAGCATCCAGAAATTTTGGTTCCCACCAGAAGCAGTTTTTCAATCCAAGTGACAATGTGCCAAAAGCTTTGGAGATTATGTCCGTGTAAGTTCTTAATTATGGGTGTGAAGTGCGCCACATTTATGGCTAAGAGGTTGCAAGCCTCCTTTTCGTACTCAACTTACTTTGTCGCTTGTCCAGAACCAAAGGTTATCTTGCATAATAGATTTCCTTTTCAACCGATTGAGTCGAACTACAAGTAGCCTGATTCCCTAAGTTGAGGGATATGTAGGCGGGATCAATGTTAAAAAGTCGACTGTATTTTGACATTCTCCCTTAAATCTTATTCCCGAGTGTTTCGATCTCTTCATAATTCGATATCGGAATAACTTTTGAGTTCTTTCAAAATCATGCATCAAATCAAGCATAATTGAACTACAAGTGGCCTAAATTCTCATATAGCCTGAGATATGTAGGAAACCCACTTCGAGGTTCAGCCATGATTCCTAATGTCCCTATCAAAAGCTTTTTTTCTAAAAGATGAATATGTGGTCGGTCAAAATTGGATTCATCAATTTCATTTGCCTCGAATTTCTTTCATCAATCCAAGTCAAACGAGGGACAGTTGTTGACACCCAATTTTGAACCTCCACAATAAAAACTAATCATTTTGAGCTTCTTCAATTTCAAATGATTTGAAATAATTAGTTTTATAAAATTTCCATGAAAAAAAAAATAATAGTATAGTTTGCAAGTTATATTAAATTGTTTTGTCACATTTCATTTTTTTATATAATATATATGTTTTATCTAATTATATATATAATTAGTATATTTTATGATTATTTAAAAATCGTCTCAAAAAGATTTTGTTTTATTTAAATATTTGGTTAATTATTTTAGTTATATAGTAATTAATATTTTAAATTTTTTAGTTTATATTTGAGTTAACTATTTTATTTTTGTTAAAATTAAGAAGCTCGTTAATTAATTTTATATAATCATCCTATTTAGATTTTAGCCGAAGCCACAAATTCAATTCAATTTGGCTATACCTTTATTTATGATTTTAGCCATTTTCTTTCACATACTTTTAAACCTTTTAAGAAAGACCTATATTGGGCCTTCTTGTCTCATTTCTTTCAGCAACAATACAACAGAAACCAGCCCAACACCTCAACAACATTCCAATTTCTAACAGCCCACTCCAATAACCCCGACCCAACCCACTCCAATTCTCATTTTCCCCTTAACCCGGCCCGAATCCAATTCAAAGAAACCCAGAACTCCTTCACGATAGCAGCATCAAACATGACGTTAACAGCAACAACCAAACCCCAATAATTTTCGACGATTACAAACGACAACAGCTCCAACATCCACAAATACACAGAAAGCGACTCACGGTGTCAGCTTTCCGCGTCTTCCTCCTCTGTCAGAACAGTTCAAATAGCCTTTCACCGGCCATAACCGCCTGCAATATTGTCCATGGCAGCCGCGATTTTCACCTTTGACTCGCATGTATGGACGCCACGTCGAGCACAAGGACGATTGGGATGAATCAAGCCATCCACCTTCATCTTTTCATCCGAATTTCATGGGATTTTGGTTGAAATCTTGTACCAAGAACAGCTTTCCCATCATTGGGGAAAAATTTCAAATTGGAGGTTAAACTCGAATTTCTATTCTACCATCCCCCCCCCCCAATTCTGAACCCTAATTCCCTTTCTATAAATACCCTCTTCTTGTTCTTGATTAGGGGTTGGAGAAAATATTAAGAGTTAGCTAAGTGTTGGAGAAAATCTTTGAAGCTGTTTGGATCAGTCTTGGCTCTCGCTCATTTTCATCTTGTTCACTCGGGTTTCTCGGAGTCATGTTTCGGTGTGAAAGTTGCTGCTCGTTCCATCTCGATCTCGCTACTCAAGAAGAGGCTTCAAAGTTTATCTATATACGGGATTAGAATGTTTCATTTGACTTGTTAGAATATATGGGTTACGTGATAACAAGTTGATGTCGATAGTGCTCCATTATATTTTGTTGCTGCCTTGTCTCATTATTCTTTATAGCAAGTCATTTATTTACGTTCCTTCCTTTGTTTGCATGTGAAATCTGTTCGAGTTCACAATGAACTCCTATCTTCTTCTTGCATTTCGGGAGAGCCGTGAAGGCTCAAATTCCTTCTTATCTGAGTCAGCCAGCTATAAAATTGAAGAACTGGTCCCTCAAAAATTGACGAACAGGAATTGGAGCCGATATGGACGAAAAATGAGAAAGAGGGCCAAAGGCCCACTCTTCATTCCAAAAAATTGTATTTTGTTATTTTGGGCCAAAGCCTTTGTCATTTTATTTATTACTATCTTGTTAGAATTTAGGACGGGTGGAAGATGAGCCTAAGGCCCAAAAAAATAAAATTTAATTTAGTCTAGGACAGGTACAAAGGTGGCAAAAATTGGGCCAAAGGCACAAAACGAAAATAGGCCCAAGTATTGTCCCAAGCGGACAGAAAACCAGACTTGGGCCTAAATTTCCCTCTTTACTTTATCATTTTATATTTGTTTAGCTGTCATTACTTGCTGTTAATCTTAAGGTTATTACGATTTAATTTCCCCGACAGACAGTTATTATGAACCAATCTTCTAAAATATCGACTAATTAAGAACTCATTTCCCTTTACCTTAAAACTTAATTTTTCAAAGTATTTAACTGATATAGTATCTTAATATTTCCCCTTTTCTCCCTTAAAATGGTCCTAACTATAAAATTGTTCAATCCAAGTTAAGTCAAATAAATTTAGCCAAATAGTTAATTGCCGAATAACCGCATATTAGCGGGCATTTCAGGTGCTTTCAAACTCTTCTCGAAATGCTAATAAGAACCCCAAACCCTTTTATTATTTTCATTAGATTCCTATTTTAATCTTTTGGAAAAAAAAATAGTTTTCTTAATTTATCTTAAAAATTAAGTGGCAACTCTTAAAATCAGTCTAAATATATTTTAAATAAAACACTATATATACAATGTAGTTCACATTTTATACAATGTACAGAACTGCTAGAAATTTAGTGAAATTACCTAGGTGTTTAGTTATTAAAAAAAATTACTCTATTTGAAATTTTTGAAGTTGGAATAGTATTTGGCCATATTTTTACAAAGAATATTTAGAATTTCAATATATTTTGTCTGAATATGATTTAAACCCTCAATTTCTAAAAATTAAAAAAATAACCTAACTTGATTTGCTTAACCATGTGTACATATATTCATTCGACTTGACACATTTTTTGTTGGTGGCGTGAGTTTCTTAAAAAATATAGACACAAGGATGAATCTTGCAACTTTTTGGATAGTTCAAGAATGTTTTTTGTTCACTTATATACATAAGGATGTACTTTAGGTTTAGGTCATACTTCAGGATTATTTTAGCCAAAAACTCAAATGTTTTCCTTATTTTTTTAAGAGAAATCATTTTCCTTAAATTTGAGGAAAATAAATTGATTTGAAAAATATTTTTCAAATCATCTAAATCAACCAAACAAGAGAAAATTGAAAAATATTTTTTTTCCTTCGTACCAAACACACCCTCAGTTTCTGTTTCCCCTACGTATCTGCTGGATATTGTGGATGATGATTCATTCTTCTTTTTTATCTTCTTTTTGGTTGTACGAAATTGGCTGAGTATTAAAAAGATAACAGACGTGGAGTCCATTCAAATAAAGTTTTTGTTAATCATATATGCGTAAATTAACTTTTAGCTATGAAGACTAGCAAATGAATTAATCCAGAGTAAGTTTACATTCTTGTATTCGATCTTTACTTTGTTACTTTAATTTTTTTTTAAAAACCGAGACCTGGAGAATCAGACTAGGTTGTCACTGTTCTAGAAGAGGTAGCTGACACGTTGAACCATGTCTGTCAACGATCTTAATTCGCTTGTCTTTTAACCCCTCTTTAATTACAACATATGTTATTCACCTTTCATGTTTAATAAATGTAGAATTTACAATCAGCAGTTAATGTTGGACAATGTTTGCAACAAGCTAAGTGGAAATACCTTATTTGCCAATACTTAATAATGGAGATATATCATTGTCCACTATAGGTTAGTGGTTTAATATATATCATTTTCATATTTAATCTCATCGAGACGTGCTCTTGCTTTCATGTTACTAAAGTCTTACTTCCATGCACACAACACTCAAAAAATATTACTCATGAAAGCAACCTCTCGTAACAAAAACAAGATAAGATTGTGTACGATGGATGCAATGTGGTCTGGCCATTTCCTGGACTTTACACATAGTGGGAGCTTAACTTGTTTTCTGTTAATAGTTGTTGACATGTCATTTCTCATGTCACCACGCCATCTTGATTATTTGTGTCCTTTAACTCCTAATCATCCTAAAGGTTGTTCAGTAATGGAATTCACTTTTGATCCTCTGGCCTTTTGATGGTGGAAACACATGTATAATGCACCAGATTGACAAACACTAGTAATTTTCTCTTATCCGCGTGTGTATTTAACCGCATTACTCTAGTGTAGTTCTGAATATCAGACTGAAATGGGGACATTTCTTGGACATCTAGTACCTGGATTGGCCTTAGCCCTCCTTGGTTTTTGGCATGCAATTAGTACCATTAGATCCAACTATCATAATGGAACTACAAAATTCAGATCAAGGTTTTGGTACCCTTTCAAGAGTACTCCCCTTCCTACTCTACAATACATTGATCTCATTCTTGTCTTGTCGTTCTCCGTATTTTGTATAGTTATCCAGTTCATAGACTTACCTTCTCTTCACTTATCATTCAAGCTTCATAATATTGAACATGCTACCATGTTCCTTCACTTGACTGTATTCGCGGGTTTTACTCTTCTTGCTGAGATAAGTAACTTACATGAGATCCTACATGGGATCTTAGGCATACTTGCTACATCTATTTTTGGTCAGGAGCTTTTCTTGCTTCATTATCATTCAACTGATCATGTAGGACTTGAAGGTCATTACCACTGGCTGTTGCAGCTTGTCGTGTGTATTTCCCTTATCTCGGCTCTTGTTGTCACTTGCTTCCCTTCTTGTTTCCCCGCAGCACTTGTTCTTTCGATTTCAGTCATTTTCCAAGGTGTTTGGTTTATGAACATGGGATTTAGTCTATGGTTTCCGCACTTTGTTCCACAAGGATGTGTTATGCAATCAAGTGAAGGTCATGAAAGCAGCTCTGTGCATGGAGCGATCATGTGTCAAACGGATGAAGCTGATTCAAGAGCCCGAGCTATGGCGAACTTGCAGTTTAGCTGGGTAATTGCAGCTATCTTGATCATTGTGTCTGGTATTTCCCTTATGTTCGCTAGAAATCGAGCAGATAGGACTCTGTTGTCTAAGTATGAGCAGCTTCAGAATAGAGGCAGAGACACCCCTGTAACAATTAATTGTTTGAAGTAAACTAGTAAATAAAGAAATGTACATTAGGCATCAAATTGCCAACTTAAATGAACTTCAATGGATGTGTCTTCATGGTACTAGTTCTGTGTATTGCAGTCACTAGACTGTCTAACCGTACTTATCAATTGAACGAAAGTTAACTTAGTTTCGTGTTCTCTTTTTGTAAATTCGATTACCTATATTAAAGCCGGGGTCGTGTTGTATTCAGCAAAAAGGGGCAGAGGGGGGCTGAGCCTAACCTCAATACAACATTGTCATGCCAAAAGAGGTGGTGATATAATATCACCGAAAAAACCAGAAAGCACAAAAATTACAACTTTTTTGCTCAACGTTTATGTACAGACTAACTAGCTAATGAAGAAGTTTGCCTTATCAGCTTTTGTTCTAATGCTAGGCATTTGCCTCTTGTCGAGTTGAACCAATCACTTAGCTTCTCTTGGTAGCTCGGAGTGGGACATGCTATTCTGCAAAGATGTGGAAGTCAGTTTGCGAGAAAGTTAGCCAATTGGCTTCCCTCTCTGTAGTGGAAGATATTTCAACTTGACAATTCTGTCTACAATATGTTTTAGTTTCAAGTTAGTAGAGCCTCCATTTTTCACTATGTTGGCAATACTCAGAAGCCATCAATCGAATTAATGAGTTCCTTCTAAACTCGAATAAACTTTCTTTACTTGGCCTTTGATTCGGATGACAACTCCTATTATGAGACAGATAAAGAATGTCTCATTATAGGAATTCTAACTACACAAAAGTTAAGCTTTTGACAGTAAATCAAGTTTCTGCAATTTCCTTTTCCTCCCCCTCCCCTAAGGATCACATATCATCCCAATGATAAGAGAAGATTAATTCGATACACTAATAGTCCAGAGGCCCCATAGAGTACGATATTGTCAAGACAGCAGACAGAATACTGATGTTAACATGTGAAAACTCAAAATTTTCCAATGCTTATTAGTTCAATATACATAACCAAAATAAAGAAACTCTACATAATGCAGAGAAAGTAAATCTTGGTGAAGAGAAGAGAACACAATAGCGAACCAACTTTTCAATCAGCTTCCTCAACAGAAGCTTCGATCCGAAGGAGTACAAAACCAACAGCAACTCCAACAAGAACCAGGGCTGGAATAATGGAAGCAATCTTGAAAATCTCAACAGCAGCATTGCAAGTAGAAGACAAAGCTCCACCTTTGCCTTGTGATGATGATGTTGTTCTCAAGGAACTAACAATGTTGGCAAATGACTGTTCAGTACTCAAAGGGAGGCCTAATGAGACAACATTGTTATGTGCCTTAAGCCCTTCAAATGAATTCAAGCCACTAATGTACTTCACTTTGGTTCTTTTCTGGGAAGACTTGTTTGTGCCTACTCTGGCTGCTAGAGTAACTGTTGCTGGAGAGAGTGTCACTGAAGCTGTTGCCATTGCTTTCTGACCACCAACCTATATAACTAGTGTTAGACAGTGGCGGAGTCGGGGGTTCATTCAGATCCACATTCGCCAGAAAATTACACAGATATATAGAATCAAAAGGCATAACCAATTTTGGGAGTGCTCAAGTAGGCACTTAAACTTGTAAAAAAATTGAACAAGTAGGCACAGACATCCTACACGTAAGACATCACATAGGACACAAAATTGTTATGTAAGACGAATGTGTCTATTTATTCAATTTAATACAAGTTTAAGTTTCTACTTGTGCACACTCAAAATTAGAAGGCATAGATGTAGTTGAGACCAAGTTAAATAACACATTTATGTATTATGCCAAATCAAAATTACATTTTATTATCTACATACAGTACATGCTAAATTCTCAATATATTCAATTCTTTATATTTGAATCTTCTTTCTGAAAATTCTGACTCGACCACTGGTGTTTAGAACTACATATGAAGTGGGATGGTAAAAGTGAGTTAGAAGGCTAAAGGCTTTATATATTACACTAAAAGATAATGACATTTTCAGTTTCTACTTAAATTTTGAATTTCAATTCATATGTTATAATTTAAGTTCTAGAATTAAAAGAAAACATTAGTTCATGAAATCAAGATAACTCTTCTGAATTACCTTCTTTCAACTTTATAAATTCAAGCCTTTTCTAAGAAGTGACAAATTCAATTTGCAGTATATAGAGCTTTGTTGTACCTTGAAAACACTTGTTAATGTTGTTCAAGACTCTCCCAAAAATGTCATTGAGTTGTGTCGAATCCTCTAAAAGTAATGCATTTTTAGAGGATTCAACAACGGTATCACAACATTCTTGGAGAATCCGAACAACATAGAAATATATCTCTAAGAAGAGTAATTTAGTATGAAAGAAATACAAAAGCAAAGTCTTAAAAAGATTGGTTTTACCTGGTTGTGATGTCTTGTGGAGTGATCTAAGTTTGGGAAAGTAGAGAGAAAATAGAAGAGTGAACATTTGAGTGATATGTTTGAGGTGAATTATTAGACAAAATGGATAAGGAGATGGATGGCTGAAATTGGAGCTAACTTATAAGCTGTTAAATATTGATACCTCCTAAATTTATAATACTGCCTCAAAACATAGTTGACTTTTTTTTAAGTAGGGATGATTTTTCTAAAAATCGATTTAATGGATCGAATTAAATTGATTATTAGATTTTTAATAAAGTTGTAGATTTTTATATAAATTTAAAATTATACCGAATAGTTAGGTAGATTTTTAATTTTATAAAAAAATATTGAATCATATTGAATAAATTTGTATGTGTAAAATATATTTTATCTAACAAGTTTAAAACTAATGAAATATTAATTTTTTTACTTTGGATTCGTGGTGATGGATATAACTACAAGTCAACAACTAATTAACACCTAGAGTTTCAACTTTAAATCTATTACGCCGGTATAATAATTAGTAAGCTACCATGTATTCCAACAATCTTAAGGAGAAAGCTATCAAGTATTAATTATTTTATCTTAACGATTTAAATTTCCAACAATCTTGAGCTCCATCTTGATTGATTGATTTATTTATGCTTGTGTGATCTAAGTTTCTTTTTATGTTTACTTATCTTTGGTTTACAATATTTAAAGGGACAGTTTTTCATGACCCCTTAATTTACTTCTACTTCACATCATAGAATAATATATGATTTCGTACTTCTCTATTAATTTGGCACCATACAATGAGACAAACAAATCACCTGTAAATGCTTTGATATAGTGAAACAAAAAATATAATGAAAAATTGCATTAATAAGAGTAGATGTAGTACGAAAGCTACAATAACATGTTATAACTAAAACATAATATGGAATTTTTTATGTGAAGTAGAAGTACTATGACGTGTGAAGTGTGCAGATCGTAGTGTAGAGTACTAATATAATGTCTAGTTTTGTAAAATTATTAATATTTAATATTTATGAAGGATATAGTAGTAACTTACTATCGTCTTAAATCTTAATGAGTTATCGGTTTACCCAATAACCCAATACTAAAAACCAATACAAAACCGATAACCCAATATTTTTTCTTATAAAACCATTAAAAACTCATTAACCCAATGTTCCTAATCAATGACCCAATAATATATTTTTCTGTTCGATTTATTAGTCGGTTCAGTTTTTGAACACCCCTAGTGAATGTTGATTAAGTTAGAAGGAACAAACATGTATTTATAGAGTGCTAAACCTTTTCCTACAAGAAAAAGGACTAGTCAATCCTAAACATTTTTCTAAAAGGAAAATCTATTTATGGTAAGAAACTCAAGATAATTAATACCTAACAAATCTCTCCCTTGGACTAAATTTCTGACAAAATAAATTCATCCACCTTCTTCACATAATCTTCAACAACTTGCATTCATAATCTCCTTTGCAAAATCTATGTCTCAACACAGAGAACTTCTCTGAAAAAATTTCTCTAATAAAAATCTTCATTACTGTCAAAAAATGTTGCGACTAGAACTACACCCACCAAGATGAACGCCTATTTCTAACCTAGCTCCATCATTGAACCATTGAACCTGGCTCCATCATTGAACCATCCAACCCGACTCTAGGACCATAAATAATTAGGTGTAATGTGGAAGCTAGCAAAGAAAACCTCGAAATACCGTGAGTAAGAAGACAAATGAGAAATATACCAAAAGACACAAAGATTTAACATGGTTCAGTCAATCGATCTACATCCACAAAGGAGAAGACAAATCTACTATATAATATGAGAGTACAAAATATAGAGAGAAATAACCTCAACCAATTAACTCAAATATACAAGGAGGTTCACACAAGTGATAACGTATCACTTGTGTCCCACAATTTTTTCCTCTAAACAAAACTCTCAAAGCCCCTATTACGACATTGTGAACATTGATTAAGTTAGAAGGAACAAACCTCTATTTATAAAATGCTAAACCTTTTCCTACAAGAAAAGGATTAGTCAATCCTAAACCTTTTCCTACAAGAAAAACCTATTTATGGTAAAAAAAACTCGAGGCAATTAATACCCAACAGTTTTTGTTGAAGTCCTAAAAAATATGTGTGATATCGTATTTTAACTTCTACTTCTGACTTTTACATTATGTTTTCTTAAAAACAAAATTAAAAAAATTAATCAAAACATATCAATACTGAAAATAATCGAGATTACGGAATGATTTTTTTTAAAAAAAAAAATCTAATTTTGATTATATAAAATAAATTACAATAACCAAAAAAAATTGATATGATATGAATTTCATAAAATTATTGTCGGAGCCATACCATTGAGGCCCAAATTGGAGAATGCCTAGTCTTCTCCTAGTCCTATTAAAATTTATTTAAGTAAATTTTAGGAATAGCAAAGATAAAAAACATATTTATGTTCTATAGCCAAATTATGTTTGTTATGGAGCATCTGATTTGTATAAATCACGGTAATTTGTATAAATCGGGTGGTTGTGTCTATGAAAATTACATTTGTGTATGTATATGTTCTTTGTGTTAGACTAAAGTGGCAAACGAGATTAGGAGAGAGAAGAGAGAGGCGACCTAGAGAAGACAGAGAGTGGAGAAAGGTGAATTGTATATGTATATCGGTTAGATAATTGTATAAATGTAACTACTATGTATATGTATCAATGATTGTGTTTGCATATCTACATAAAATTTGAATTCGTATACAATTGAATCGAGTTTAAATATTTATATTTGTATATCAAATCTCTCTCTCGACTAATACAAACACAAATTATACATTTGTATAATTTGTGTTTGTATAAAGCGAGAAAGAGAGAGAGAGAGAAAGACAAAAGAGATCTGGGCAGGGGAATATTTGTATTTGTATAATTATAAGTGTATAGCATAGAGAAATATGTATTTGTTTATGCAGTCTCTCTTGCTCTATACAAGCACACACACAAATTATACATTTGTGTTTGTATAAAGTGAGAGAGGTGAGGGAAAGATAACTGAAAAAGAGGAGAGTGGCAAGCGAGATTCCAGAGAGAGGGGAGAGAGGCGAATGACAAGAAATTTGCTGCGAATTGAAATTAAATGAAACTGTAGTTATAACATTTTTTTTGAATTAATAATTTCCTATAATGCACAATTTTCCCGATTTATTTTGGTCCACATATGGGCTTCGAGTTTTTCTCCATTCCTTTTCTCTCAATTGTCTGCTCACTTTATACATGCTTGGACCTCAACACATTTTCACACTTGATTTATCATAATTTGGATTGAATCTCACAAAATATAACAGCTTAAATCTAATTCTACTTTCCGAAGTGTTATAATCGGATATCAAATTGGACAATTAGGATCAATTTTGATATGCGAAATCCATCGGTGACCACCTAAAGTTGCATAAACTTTCTCTTAGATACCTTAACTAGGAAACTTTCATTAAGCAAAGATGGCAAGCACACTTTCACAAACTATTGAACCAAGAAAGGGACAAAGACATTATGTTGGGGGAGTTGGAGCACTCTAAGAGACATCAAGATTTTGGGTATCATAAGTATATTAAGGTGGAGGGGTTGAATCATGCTATTAGTAGAACAAGCAAGGGAAAAACGACATGACCTGATGAGATTCCAGTGGAGTTTTGGAAGAGCTTGAATATAGTAGGTTTGGAGTGGTGACTAGCTTGTTCAATGTCATTTTTAGGACGACTAAGATGTCAAAGGAATGAAAGTGGAGAACGATGGTTCCGTTGAACAAAAAACAATGGTGATATCCAAAATTGCAACAATTACAAGAATATTAAGTTTTAAGCCACAATATAAAAGTATGGAAAATAGTGGTCGAAAGTTGGAAAAGAGTGGTGGAGATGAGGGTGAGGAGAAGTGTGTATATTTTCGAGAATTCATTTGAATTCATGCCAGGATGATCGACCATATAAGCCATCTATTTGGTGAGGAGACTGATTGAGAAATATACAAAAAGAAAGATGGACTTACATATGGTGTTTATTGACCTTGAAAAGACCTATGACAAAGTTTCGAGGGAAGCCTTGTAGCGATGCCTAGAGGGAAGAAATGTATCAGTGGCCTACATTTAGGCGATAAAGACATGTACGAAAAAACTAAAATGTGGGTTAAAACAGTGAAAGGAGATTCCGAGCACTTCCATGTGGAAATGGAGTTACACCAGAGATCAAAATTTTACTCCGTTTCAATTTATCTTGGTGATGGATGAATTGATGTGAGACATTCGATGAGGTGTCCTAGTATGTTATTTGTTGATGACATAGTACTAATTGATGAGACACACGATGGAGTTAATGCTAAGTTAGAGGTATTGAACAAACTTTGAAAATTATAGGGTTTAAGTTAAGCCAGACCAAGATAGAGTATATGGAATGTGAATTCAATAATGTGATGCATAAAATAGGCGTGGAAGTGAGGCATGACACACAAAAGATTCCTAAGAGAGATAAATTCAAGTATCTTGGGTCTATAATTTAGGGGAGTGGTGACATCGATTATGATATCACACATCGTATTGGTGTGGTGCAGATGAGGTAGATGATTGCCTTTGGAGTCTTGTGTGATAAAAATGCACCACCAAAACTCAAATATAATTAAGTTCTATAATAGTGGTGGTTAGACCGATATTGTTGTATGGGCAAAGTGTTGGCAAGTCAAAAACTCTTATATCCTGAAGATGCATGTCGTGAAGATGAGGATGTTGAGGTGGATGTGTGGTCATACTAGGAGCAATAATATTATAAATGAAGATTTCCGAGAAAAGGTGAGACTAGGCTATATGGTGGACAAGATGAGGGAAGAAAAATTAAGATGATTTGGATATGTGAAGAGGAGATGCATAGACGCACTAGTGAGGATGTGTGAGGAGTTGATTGTAGAGGGTACGAGCAGAGGTAGACCAGAGAAGTATTGTGGAGAGGTGATAAGACAAGATATGATGCAACTTCAGGTTACCGGGGACATGACCTTAGATAGAAGGGTTGGAGGACATATATTAATTAGGATAGAAGGCTACCTAGTAGGTAGTGTCGTATTGTCTTGCTTAGGGTGACTAGTGTTTGTCATTGTAATAGTTAGATTACTACAGATCTTTTTTTTTATCGTTGTTTATTATTGTTTTCAATAATCTATTCTAGTATGTTGTCGATTGTGTTTTGATTAGCACATTAGGTGTTTTTGGCTCCTTTTTGGTACTCTCTACATTGTTTCCTTGTTACTTGATATATTCTCTTCATTGTCTCCTTTTTTGTACCTGAATTTTTTACATTTGAGGTGAGAGTCTTTTAGAAACAACCTCTCTGTCTTTCGAAGTAGTGACAAAATCTACGTACATTATATCCTCCTCATACCAGATTTCACCAAATATGTTATTGTTGTTGGTGAGATAAAAACATAAACATAGTGATAGAAAAGTGCCTATTTTTGTTCTAATAAAGGACCCACATTTCATTAGTCAACATGACATTGAATACTTTAGTCAAACAAAAACATAAAATGACTCAATATCGTGTTTGAAACGCCAACTTCCCTAACCGTTTCTAGGACAAAAAAAGATCCAATTCCACTTGGCCCATAGTTTCCCCCTCCACCACCCTTGCCGGCTTTCTCGTGCGGCATACCAGCAATCCCAAAAAAACCCATCACACGCACAAATTGTCAAATCAAATCAAATATTTTCAATAACCAATTTCTTAAGCCTTTCCTTATTAATTAAATTTAAAAATTAAATTAATTTTTAGCTTATTGTGACCCCTTTACGTAGAGAAACGGTCATCACAATTCACAAACAAGATGATCAATTTGAAGAAATATTTCTAAGGGATTGAAGAACATAACATCCGATTTTTTTTAAAAGGGTAATCTTATTTTTGTGTCACTTTGATTCTTATTTATTCCTTGCTTTGACCCTAATTAGAATCAACATAAATTTATTTACTTCTTATTTTGTATCTCTATTTTTTTTATAAAAAAAAATTGTGATATCCTAGAAGGGTTGGTGTATGTAAACAACATCATGAATATTGAGGCATAATTGATTAATTGAATGACTAAAACATAAGTTGTTGATGATTTGATGGTAGCCAAATTTGAATATTTGATGTCCTCTGTTGCTATATAGTTTGTCTTTCTTTGTTATGAGATTAATTTGGTTCTAATTGTTCCAAAGGTCTAACACTTGAAAAAGGGGATCATAATATTTGGTGAGGATGGGAACCATGTTGGTGATGCTAATTTTGATGTCGATGTCGATGATGATTATGATGGACAATGTGTATGCTGGAGATACGAATTCTGTTTTTGATCCTTGTTCGGACACAAGAGTTCAGAGATGGGATGGTTTCACATTTGGCCTTGTGTTTTCATCAAAGGAATCATTTTTCTTCAATGAATCACAGCTCTCTCCATGTGATCGTCGCCTCTCCCTTACTGGAAATTCTGCTGAACTCGCTGTTTTTAGGCCTAAAGTCGATGAGATTTCACTCCTTACAATCAATAACAGCAACTTCAATCCTGTATGTACTCTTATATCCCAAATTCTTTTCTTGTCTTCCTATACTTTTGTTCTGCATTTCTTGTTTTTATCTGTCGTGCTTGCGAATGTGTTTATACCTTTCAAATGTAAATTAGATGAGAGAAGGGAATTAACAGAAATCGTAATTAGCTAAGAATCTTGGCATATAGATGTAATTATTTGATGATACTGTGTTTGTCACTGTGTAGTGTATTTGCTAATAACTGTTATGACTTATTAGCATAATGTCAAACAGCTTATATCACTGCAGTGGCGGAGCCACGTTATAGTCAGGGTATCCCTTCGGCGGAAAATTATATCATTTATACATGGTTAAAATATTTATTTAGGTATATATAGTAGATGTTGAACCCCTTCGACTACTTCGTGTATCTATTTCTTCAGACTTTGAACCCCCTTATTGAAAATCCTGGCTCTGCTAATATCAGTAGGTTTTTTATTAAGCATGTATATCACGAGCTATGTAAAATTCTCGCCTACTATGTGAGGAACACCAAATGTTTTTGGAAGTAGATTATTGGTCTATTAAGAAATTTGAATACGTACCGTTTGCATAGTTTGTTACATGTAGCTCTAGGTCTTTATATTTTTACATCGAAAACAAACAGAACTTTTCTCTTTTGATAGTTTGCCTGTTCTGCAGACTAAAATGTTTAATCATTTGGATGCATTTTGCTTGACTGTCTAGGAAGAAACAACAATTTAATATAATGGGAATTTGTCACCTTTCACCTAACTGTCTAACAAACATGTTTGGTAGAATTTGTAGGTTACAACAAAGAAAAGTATCTCAAGCTTTTGTTTTCTCCTGCTAACTACCAACCTGTCTTGTCCAATGTTTTTTTTTTCCATCGAAAAATTGAACGAACTAGATGCTTAGACATCAATCATGGCATTCATGAATTCTTCCCCTAAATTGTTAGTGTATAATAATTTATTAAAAATAGTGGCCAGTGTCAACTTTCACTTCAACTGTACAGTACAGATTATCGATCTTTGAACTTCTCCTTTTTATGTTCTCAATCTTCTTATGGAAAAATAATCAGCATCCGTACTTCCCATTGGGAAGTCGGAGTATATACAAATAGGTGCATACAGTTGGACCTAAGGCACTTCGCCTCACTTTATGTGCTCTTCAGTGTCATTATCAAGGTTCTAAGGCATACTTTTCCATGTCAATGACCCTTAACTGAAGAGGTGACACTAAAACAATTGATATATCACTTTATCATAATTTATTTTCAATTTCCTTGTTCATATATTTGTCATTCATGTTTATAATTACTAGTCTTGGACTAAACATATGTATTTGTATTTTCCCCCCTTTGCGCCTTTTTTCATTAAAGTTCACGCTTTATTTGCGCTTAAAGCCCCAATGGACCTTAGAGTTTTCTTGCACTTTTCACCTTTGATAACACTGGAAATAGTTAGTGTTTGGTGTGCATCGTATTCAATGATTTGTTGAAACTTCTCAGAGCAAATCTGGTGGTTATATGGTTGCCTTTGCTGGACGCAAGTATGCTGCTCGATCATTGCCTGCTTTTGTGGCAGACGGTACTCACACCGTTACAAGCTTCACTCTGGTAAGTTTTATGCAGCATGAAAATCCCAATTCTGTCGACAAACATTAAAGAATTAGCTTCTTTTGCATCATTGAACTTTGTCCTCTGACTTGACTTAGGTACTTGAATTTCAAAAGGGCACCCTCCAGAACTTGTTTTGGAAGAAATTTGGGTGCGATTCGTGCAAAGGAGATTCTTTTGTTTGCCTCAATAAAACTGATTGTGCAGTCCCCAATAATAAGTGCAATGGCAATGGCGGATCCATTGACTGCAACGTGAGCATACAATTGGCCTTTTCAGGAACAGATAAGAATGAAAATGTGCTGAACTCGTGGTACGAGGTTAAAAACCTCAGACAATACTCCCTCTACGGTTTGTTTCAAGGTGTTAGTGATTCTCTCACGAGTCCTTTTAAGAACCTTTTTTAGGACCATATAACGAGTTGTTGTTTGTATAATGTATAATGACCATAAGATTTCTGTTGTGCTTGTCCACGTAACTAGAATATATATCTCCTTTGTCCGTTGAATAACTTGGTGATTACTACATAGAATCCAGCCTGTTTTTGCTTGTACAGATCTTCTCTCAAAAACATTTTGTTGTTTAAAGTTACTCATTGTTTATCATTTTGATGCTTCCTTGTTTTGATCTATCTCCTATCGAAATGAACGTGGATTTCTATGGCTCAAGGAATTTCCATTTCAGTGGATCCAATTGTTATAAGCTATGTAGCATTCCTATTGTAAGCATTACATATCGATATACAAGCCATTAACATTCTTTTCCTAAATCTCTCTTTGCTTATTCTTCTGTTCTTGAGTTGTCTTCATTAGTTCATTATCTCGATCCTCGAATCTTTATTGATTCCTGCAATTGAGATAACATACAAATATGTACATGAATCGTCACCTTGTTTGTATCACAAAATGCTTCTAGCTATTTTCTCTATATACCATTACAAGAAATCAACAGTCCAAAACTTGATTGACTTTCAATACACTTTACCACATGTAAAGTATCCTTATAATGAGTTTGCATTAATAAACTAGTTGAACAATTGAACTACAATATGAAATGTTAGATTACCACATGTAAAGTATCCTTAGTCATTCAACAGTAGTTATTCTTTCTAGTAGTAGTTATTTCCCTGTAGTTTTTCATTCCAATAATGTTAGGAAGTCATGTCCTAGATTTTAGGGGTAGTTTTCTTAATAAGTTTTGTATTGAAACTCTCTGTTGAGGTCATGAAATCTAAGCAGAAAATAATTCGAGTTTCTGAGTACTTTAACTCAAGAGATTGTAGGTTCTGTCTTAACAAACTAGAACCATATATAGGTCGTAGGAAGAAAACAATAGATTTTACCTCGCAATGTCCCATAACTAGATTCATAACTGGGACCGTGTAACACCTTGATCCTCACAGTCCTATTTCTAAAATCATTTTCAAAGCATACTTTCTTTATGACATCAGAATGGCTAGAAAGTACATCAATTCTCCGAGATTTGATTTGAAATTGTGATGTAAAGCACACATTGCCCTCTGAAATTATTCTAGATCATTAACTATAAAAAGTAAGTCATCTACATTAAAAAGAGAAAAAAAAGAGACTATGAGCACCAATGTATCATAAGTGATCTTAGTAAATAGTGATTAATCATATTTTCTCTACTGAAAACAAGACTGTAATGAGGTATATGTAGACTACAGACGTTATACTCCCCTACATCCTTGATGACATACATGAGTGTACAAAGAAGGTTCAGTATCATAAGAAAAGGTTGAAAGTTAACATGAAAGTGATCATAGAAATGTATTGATGTATAGGATGAAGATATGAATATGCGCGAAAAGTAAGGGAGTATTAACATATATAGTTTGTTAACCAAATTAAATGTTTAACATTCCTACCATATTTCCTAGTCTACACAAGATCTAAGGCTTGGATTGGCAACAACAACATGTAAAATAATAGAACTAAGTGAACAAATATAGAGAAAACATGAGATGAAGCTATAAGATCATGTGAGGAATGAGAAGGATGAAAAATGGTGCATGAGACATGGTGGTAGGTGTAGAATCTAAAGTTCAATATTTTTTAGAGGAATGATGTGAAAGCACAAGATTATAGGATATGAGAAATTAAGCCTTAAAAACTGACGAGAGGGAGTTGTTCGGATGGTAAACACCCCTCACATCCAATCCAAAGATTGTGAGTTCGAATCACCAAAGGAGCAAAAGGGGTGGGAGCTCCTTCCGTATAAAAAAAAAAAACCCTTAAAAACTTAAGTAGATGTCTTCTCTAACTATCATCATTACTGACTAAGGATTTGTCAGATACAATATCATAGACTTTATAATCTTCATGTGTTGGATCATATCCAATAAATACAATAGACACGTATTTAGGAGAACTAAACAAAAAGATTTAGTAATAATAATACTCTAATAAGAAAGGATAATCTGATTTGTTTAGAAGGATAATCTGATTTGTTTAGCGAATAAACACAACATTTTAGATCATTGTCAACTTATTAAGATTTTTTTGTCAAACTAAAATGAGGAGTATATCCTGATCATTCATGCCATAAAACTTAGAGATTTCAAAAAGAGAAGCAACATGTGTTAAAGGATTTATGATGTAGAGTTCATCCTTGTGTTTACTAATCACCTTACCATTCCACTAGAGAGGTCATAAAAGACACAAAATTAGGGATAAAAATATATTAAGCTATTTAATTCCCTTGTATATCTACAGACAAACAATAAATCAAACTGGAATTTAGCAACATATAAATATTTTTGATAATTTTCTTGAATTATATATAGAATGCAAGATCTTCTGTGCATTATCTTGGTACTATTTTCATTAGGTGGATGAACAAAGCTTGATTTGGAATTTGATATTGGATTAATATGTGACAATATATTAAAGGATTAAGCATATACTCTGAAGCACCAAAAATCAATAACCCAATAATCTTGGTTAATGATTACTCCCTCGGTCCCTAATTACTTGTCCACTTTTTCTTTTATAGTTGTCCCTAATTATTTGTCCATTTTGACAAATCAAAAAAAGTCAATTTTATTTACCTATTATACCCTCAATTAAATGATTAATTACTTTTAAAATGTAGAACTTTTCATCCACTTCATAATTAATAGGGGTAAAATAGTAAATTCACCATGTCATTAATTGTTTTCTTAATAGGTGTGTCAATTCAAAAATGGACAAATAATTAGGGACAGAGGGAGTAGTTAATTACTTGCATAGTGTCGGCTCAAGCTAATTAGTGGCCTAAAACCAAAAATAAATCGGAAGCCTAACTTTTAATTATTTTATTATTATTATTATTATTATTGAGATGCAAAGTTATTTCTTTCTTTTTATTGAATTTTTTATTTTATTTTTTACGATCTTAAACTATATATATATATATATATATATATATATATATATATATATATATATATATGCAACGTGGGGGCTAACACAATGTCCATGTCCCCCACCGCATGCATACCACCTTCTTCAGCCAATCTGGCATTTATTTCAGTGTGGGACACTTCGCTTTGAGTTTCGTTTCATTTCATTTTTTGGGTCAAATATATATATATATATATATATATATATATAATAATCCATAACATACACAAATTTATACTAGAAACATGACTAAATATTGGATAAATACAGTGTTTGGTTGCTTAAATACACCCCAGATCACTTTCCAATTTGATGTAAATTAATTTTCCTTAATTTATACTCATATTGGTGGGAAAGATGCACTTGAGAACCAATTAACCTATCTCGAACATTCAGGATCTTACCCTTTTGTTGAAAGCGTGAATCATTATTTTTTATATAACTGATCATGGCAAAAGAAATACATTCATTATCATCCCATCAATCAAAGCTATTTCTTCATATCGGGCGTGAACCCATTTAACATTGCTCAACTCTGCTTCTTGAATAATTCTCAATGAAATTATCATTTCTCAGAGATTTAATTTGTAATAGATGCATAGCAAGAAGCAACATATCTGTTTAAAGATGGATTTTCAAGAGGCTAGCAATGTGCATGCTGCTTCAAATGAACTCCAGAGAGGATCAGAAATTTATTATCTGCAATAACCTCTCTTGCAAACCAAAACTACATTTGTCTCCATTTGGTGTGTATATATATACTGGTAGACAATTTAGGGGTCGCTGGTTAGGAAGTAGGTTATTCATGTATAAAATTAATACGGTGTTTGATTTATAATTTTGAAATCTGTATAATTAATAAATGTATAAGTTATGAGAGACTCTATGTATTAGTTTATACATGATAGAAGATGACAATTACATGAATAAATAAATCCTACATAACTGATCCTTGAATAAAATAATAGTAAATAAATTTCCTCATAACTAATAATACATACTCCCTTAGTTTAAAAAAGAAAGACCTAGTTTGACTTAGAACGGAGTTTAAGAAAAGATAGAAACTTTTTAATCTTGTGATTCTAAATTAAAGTTATGTCAAATGTATCAAAATGTCCTTTAATCTAGTGGTCTTAAACATATCACGTGAAAAGCTGAACTTAAAATGTTGCCAAAAAAGAAATGAATCATTCTTTTTGAAATCGACTAAAAAGGAAACTAAGACATTTTTTTTTAAACAAAAAAATAGTATATAACTATAACCAACTACCAAACAAACATTTAAGACTTTATATGAAAGGAAGATACAAATGCCAACTGGGCTCTGGACTGTGGTCCCCTGGCTTTATCTGGATAAGTCTTGAGGCCGGTCAAGATAACACAAAGATTTCAACCACAACTCGTTGGTCCCAAACTATACAGGGGCAGCAAACTTTGTTAGAGTTATTTGAATATTTTAATTTATGCATCAAAATTGATAAACATGAAATTTAAAGAGGAACGGGAGATTTTTGAAATATTTGCTCATAAATATGTTATAATATATATCGTTAAGAATAAGTCTTAATCAATAAAATGTAAAATAGAATTTTAGTACTATTAAGAGGTATTTTTGTGTGGATAATATTCATTATGAGAGATTCACAATCACCAGCCACCATCACTAACCACCTCTGTCATCACAATTACAATCATATCTTAATAATTCATATTTGTATTCAAATTCAGACGTCTAAATTATAATAAAACAAATAAGGCTTAAATCTCAAAATATCCAAAAACAAGCACAATTCAAGGGATTAATAATTTAATTTATGAATAACAACAACAAAAGATAAGTAAAAAATGAATTGAGTTGGTAAAAATACCAACACATCACAAGTATATAGATGAGTATTGAGCCCAGTAGAAACTGATACGATTCAATTCAATATATTGTTCATTCGATTTGATTGTGTCGTATCTCAATAATTGAAATTGATCCAAAAAACAAAGAAAGTAGGTATAACTAGCCGTGAACAACCAACCATCATATTGTAATTGAAAAGTTTGATCTATAGTCATTAGGGCTCCTAAAATGATCTACTACGTTCATCAAGTTGCTCCATTGGCTCTCTATAAAATACTCATTTGGTTGAGGTTGTCCAAACACACTCCAAAGGGT